AAAACCATGACTGCTTGAAGGAGCAATGATCATTTTTTTATTAAGTGTTTAGCCTAAAACTTAATGGGAATACCAGGGGAGTAAAAATGTGTACTGTAGGTCCAAGTGTTCCTGAAACCCATTAGGACTTGCAATTTGAAACATCACTGAGAAAGATCCAAGATATGAGGTAAAAGTTTTGTAATGTAACAGAGCTGATAAAACAACTAGTGTTGGAACTCTGAATGATATATTTATAATTGTGAAAGCTAGAAATATATTTATAATTGTGAAAGCTAGAAAACTTCAGTCATGATGGAACGGCTGAGAATGGAATGGTGAAGAGTTAAAAGATTCTTTAACACATTGACTGCCACACTAGAAAAAAATTGTTTTCCTTGGGGCCAGGGTGTTTTATTACGAAAATAGAATAAAAACTTCAGAAACAAAACAATCCTTTCTAATTTATTGAAAAATTTGTTATTTTTTATTGTTTTCTGTGCAAGAGTTATATGCAACTTGAAAAATAGTTCTTGCGGCTCCAAGGTGAAGAGATGTGTGAGTTACATATGCTTCATGAGGCCCTTGGTTCAAAACTAGCTTGAGTTAAATACAACTCACATGGCAGTTAATGTGTTAAATGCAGTGTCATACTGTTAGGAAAAACACTCATCCCAGTGACAGACTGGGCCTAGGCCCTGGGAATTTGGTCAAAGTTTCTTATGACAAGTACTTTTGGGATTAAGGAGATGATCCTCTTGCTTGGGGCCTAAAGACAAACTACAGGTCCCAGCATTCAGTCACTTGAAGTTGTCAGGGAACAACAGTGGAACTGTGTAGTTCACTGGAATCACAAAAGCACGACTCCTGAGATCAAAAGGAGCCTCAGAGAGCATCTAGTTGAACCAGTAATACTATTTTTAGTGTTCTATAGCTTCCAGAAGTTAAAGAATTATATGCTTATGATACAGCTTATACCCTTCCATAATGGTGTCTGCACATAACCCAGAAGCACAGGAAAATATTCAAATTAATGAGTAGATGTTTTTACCAATCGGGAGGAAAGTCTAACAAAATATCAAAGGTGTACTGAGGGTAAAAGTGCTTTCTGCCAATTCAGCAAATCTTTAAGGGGGACATGTTCATCATGACTGCAATCTCAGAATGTGAATGGGCATTATTAGAAGAATGCTAATGCTGGCACAAGAGGAAATGAAGGCTTGAGACTCCAGTCCTACAAGGAAGCAGGATTTTGCATGGGAGGAGGGGAGTCTATCCAGGATGACATGGAGAATAAGATGAAAATGAGAGGCTAGGGAAGGGGAGGATAATGAAAGGAGGAGCAAGAAAAATAGCGTAGTGTCTGCAGTATGGATACTGCAGTGTTGGGTTCCTAAGACACAGAGAAGATGGCCAATGACTCTCTGCAGGGTCTCTTCAAGAGGCACTGGATAAACTAGAGCACAGGTGGGGAAGGAGGAATGATGAGGACAACATTTTCAAGCTGAGGCCGAGCCGAGGTGGTACGGTTAAGATCCAGGCAGGGAAAGATCCCAGATGCCAACAGAAAAAGGAAATAAATTACTTTTGAACTAGAGGATGAGAGCTAGGAATGAAGTGTTAGTATGGTTGCATCACCAAAAACAGAAAGTCAGAAGAAGAGAAGGAGACAGAGAAAAAACAAAGCAAACTCAGAAATATACAAACCTAGCGAATTAACAGAAGGGAGGAGGGAGGAGAGGGATGGGGGGAGGAGGAAGGGAGGGAGAGAGAGAGCGAGAGAGATGGAGAGAAGTTGGCTGGAACAAAGGCACTTGAAAAGCTGTGTGTTGCACAAAGGAATGAAGACTAAGCCTTGCACATTGACAACCAGCACTGAGCCAAATGGGTAAGAGTACGGCTGGTCCTTTCCCCGTCTGCCTGCAATCCCACCAGGTACAGACAGCAGCTTGGCGCTGAGTGGTGCAAAGAGGAGCAGTGCAGGAGAAGGGTAAGTGCGGGGCTCATATCAATCTCAGGGACAGAAGCTTTGAGAAGGGCCACCCACCCAGTCACCTGGAACATTATACAGGGTAGCAATTCTGATCAAAACAGTACAGGAGAAAGGGGATGAGAGGAGGAGTAAACAGGCACCTTCCCACAGTCAGGGGACTCCAGTGTTACCTAACACAACAGCTATTTCCATAAGGGGTCAAGAGGAAAGAAAGAACTCCAAAGACTAACCTAAATAAAGCAATTAAAACCAACTTAATTAAAGTCAAACAACATTTGCTGAATACTTTATTTGTGCCAGACCCTGTGTTAGGTGTTGAAGATACAGAGAAAAATAAAACAAGGCGTCTGATCTCACTCAAGCAGCTCACAGACTCCTGGGGGTGGGGGGCGGCGGCAGAGATTTGACAGCTAGGGAAGGAGCAGCCAGCAGGGTCACACTCACAGGGCTTCAGTATCATCCCTCTGGGAGCAGTGTGGAAGGTGAGTCGAAGAGGTGAGGGGCATTACTTTGTGACACTTTCCCTGCCACCTCCCCTACCCTGGCAGTGTGACTAGGGTGTGAGGAGAAAGTCAGTGAATAATTCTATAGGAGTAATTCTGCCAGTTACGGTGACAAGCAATTAAGGGATACCAGTAAACTCATAACTTTAAAAGAAAAAAAAAAAGACTGGGATTGTATGAGTTATAGCAATTCTTCACTTATCTTAACTAGCAGGATTTCCAAGTAATTTGGTTTACTGTTTAAGCGTTGATTTTTAACTTGATTTTGATGACAGTCTTTCTAAACATATTTATATATGTGATCTTTTAAAGCCAAGTAGAAGCCGCCTATTTTATAAATATACACTCTACATGGAGATCTGTGATGTGTATGATTTTCCCACCAGGGGCCTGAGGAAAGAAACATCCACTTCTCCCTACAGCTATTGCTCAGATCACTCTCCTTCTGCATGCTGCATTGTTACCTGGGACTATTTCTTGTCCTGACAACCTCACTGCCAACTGCTAGAACTGGGCATAAAAGGAGAGTAAATAGGCTCTGAGTGAGGGTGAAGGTGTTATGGTATTAGTAAAGATGATGAATCTGAATGCATTAACTCTATTTTTCTTGTTCTGAGATATTTTCACTTATTTTCTGGTTCTCAGTTGGGTTCTAGATAGCTGAGATGGCCAGAATATCAGCTCTGGATATATTATAATATCTATTATTTTAAAATGATTTTAAATGATTTTCCCATTGCAAGAAATGTGTACAATGTAAAAATATTCTCTTCCCAAAAGAAATCTGAAGTACTGCTCTCAAGGAGAAACAGACTGCCCCTTAGGTTAGTAATAATTTCAGAACAGCAATTCATTATGTTACCAAGACAAGGCTCTTTCGTGTTCTTGTAACAATGTTCAAATGTGCATGTCTCTTTAGGATAAAGAATATGATGAAACCAATTAGAGATCTTGTTCAAGAAAAAAATCGAGGCCAGTCAAGTTTAATTAATGACTTAGATTAAGTTAGATGTGACGCGGGAAGGAGCCGTGTCATAGCAGCATTATCATGAGGGGTAGTGGGAGCAAAGGAATAGAGGCAAGTCATCACTGGCACTATAGAACTCTCTCAAGTCTCATGACAGCAATACTAGAGTAAGGATGATCTGATGAAGACTCAGCTAAAGCTCAACATCCCAATTGTGCCTGTTTCTTTTCAAAACAACTGTTTTCAGGTTTTTACACATATCCATGTCTAAATAAGTTCTACTCAAACAGACTATAAAAAAGACAGGAACAATACAGTACTAATTCTGTCTATCCCACATTTGGATTTAATTTTGATCTGATCTACCTAATTTTCATAGTACTAAGGTAATCTGTAATTGTACTGGCTCCTTTTAAACCACCATCACTCCATTGTGCAATGACCAAGAAAAAAACAATTCCTTCTGCACCTCTGTATTTTCACAATTTAGACACTATTCCCATGGCTTGTCAAAGGCACACCTGAAAATGGTCAACACTGGTATTTAAAAGGAGCTGTACTTGCGTTCTTAGGTTAATGCATAGATCTTTTCTACATACTAGGGAGCACAAAACACCAACATGAAAGAAGAACACACTAAAGTTTATCAGCACAGTCAAGTGGAGGGGAAATGCCTGACAAAAGTCATGCTGAAATTACATGACATTAATGATAATTACTGTAGCCGTTAACATTAATGAGCCCTTACGGAGCCAGGCACTGTTTTAGGTGTTTTTTATGTATTACCTCATTTAATTATCACATGAACCTTATGAAGGAGGTGCTATTCTTAGCCGTATTTTATAGATGAGGAAACTAAGGGACAGATAAAGTCACAGGGCTAGAAATCGTCATCAATCAAAATATCTTATTGCCAGAGTCTATACTCTTAGTCACTGATGTTAAGACTGTGTCATTTTATAAATAAGGCATTGGATGTAAAGTGTGCTTATATAGAAAAAGTGTATTTACAGCTTTAAAAAAGTCGTTTGTATTATTGTTTTTTTTTGTATATGTATATTTAATTTTATTTATTTATTTATTTTAAAGTTTTTTTTTTAATTTCAGCATATTATGGGGGTACAGATGTTTAGGTTACATATGTTGCCCTTGCCCCCCCCCCAAGTCCGAGTTTCAAATATGTCCATCCTTCAGGTGGTGCGCATTGCACTATTATTGTTTTAAGAATAATCAAGTAATCACTATAGGGCACAATAACACTAAAATCTTGATATAATCCTGCCAACAGGGTCCAAATTATGAAAGCACATAGGGTCAGGAACACAGACATAAAGCCCTTCTGTGACTTCTGGCAACAAACACCAGAGATGGACTCTCTGAAAGATGGTCTTATTCTAAGTTCAGTGTATTACAGTGATGTCTCATTTTACGCTGTTGATAGAGAACTTAGTTAAGTTCTATGAAGCATACATAAACACGCTTCACATCTAGATTCTGGACAGTCTTTCTGGGCAGCTGAGAACAAAAAGTCTACATTATTACTATTTTTTAAAAAGTCCTTACTCCCCAGACAGATCTGCTAATGGAACTTGATATATACAATAATTCTCTCCCTAAATTTTTATTAGATATGACACAAAAAGATAGCAGAATAAGAAAAGTTGTCATATCACTTGAACCTTTTACTACCATTATGCTTTTATGGTAGCATTAAGGGCTGTTCTCTTATTTCTGTCTTTTTTACCCTAAATTAAAGTCAAGTAGTATAGAGGCGAAAACCATGAGCTTTGGAGTCAGAGCCCATTTAGGTGTGAATCCTGGCTCCCTCCTCCATGTACTCTTTTGTACTCCATGTTACTGGCTGTCCAGCATCAGGCAAGTTCCTTGACTTTTCTAAGCTTTGGTTCAGTTCCCTTATCTGTAGAATGGGAGGAACCCATACTTCAAAGGGCGATTGTGAGAACTGATTGAGACAATGCACAAAAAGTGCTAAGCAAAGTGTCTATACATGGTTCAATCTCAATAAAAGGAGACTGCAAAAATTACCATTCATGTCAAAAGAATGCAATGGGAGATGTATCAGGGGCTTAATGATTCAGGAGATTTTTTTCCTTTTATATATTTAATATAAATGATGAACTTGAAAAAAAATTTACCAATAATGACAATTCACATTTT